GAGGAAAACAGCCCCCCTTCCACTATGCTAGGAGTCTGTTTTGTCAAATTATTGCATACTAGAGTATTTTAACCATTTCGTTTTATTTATACGTAAATTGCCCGAGTATTTTATACGTAACTTTCAAGATTCTCGGGGGGGCCGAGGCCCCCCCGAGCCCTGCTGTAGCTCCGCCCCTGGTTTATGGGTTGCTTAGTCGTCCCATGTTTCAATTTGTTAATGTGCTTCTTAGGCACCACATTTTTTAGTTTGTTGTTATTATACTTTAGAAATTTTCACATTTATTTTGCACGAGTTTTGGCACCATTGTTTGTTTTCTTTATTTTGAGAATGATTTGTGGAGCTGCTGACAGATGAATTTGCGGTTGTATATTTGATTTGTAATTTGTAGGGAATTATTTGATATTTGGTATATACTAATACCAAACAATATATTAGAGATTTTTTCTATGAATGGCAACAGTACTGGCAACAAACTCCTCTGCCAACTAAGAATGACATTTACTATGTAACTCTACTATAATCTATCTATCGAAAAGCAAAATCATGAGGGAATACAAAACAGTTGCCTTCTTTCACATTTTCCGGAACTTGGCATACAAATCACCGCGTACCATCGAGCCACTTCGTTTTTTATCTGAAAGATCATCCCGTCAACCCCCCTTCCAGCTCCACCATACATAATCTTGCATCTCTCTCGTCACAACCAACTCACCAAGGAGCACCAGACCACCTTCCCCACTTGAGCTGTCACTTCCCGTCCTTTCAGACTGCGTACAAGCCACCTCAGTTCCCCTTCCAAAGTTTGAGCAGAGGTATGGCCAAATCTGTGGGAAAACATAAAAGCAAAAAGTTGACAGTAAATAGGGCAAGAAGCAAAGATGTAATCCCCGGTTTCCAGAGCATGACCACAAAACATGTAGAAACGTGTGAAACCAGTTTGTACATATGTTTATTGTTGAAGGACCTTTTAGCATTTTGTGCTCCTAACCCTATTAGCTCACGTCGAGTATAATAGGAGGGTAGGGTTTTCGTTTGATGTAAGCAGAAAGAACAATAGAGCTGCGGCCAATAACAATCCTGAGAACTCACGTTCTCCGTGGAGTAGTCTCGTTCATATTGAACGGGGAAACCACGTAAATCCGGTGTCTCGTGTTATCGTCTACTTTCGTTATTAGAATTTACATGGTATCAGAGCGGTGATCGGTCACTAGCTTGAAACTTTCATCATGGGCGACGAAGACAATAAGCTCGGCAAGGGAGCTATGACTTCATCCTCAGACGACGTGATACAGCTCACGTCTCCTCTCTATCTTCATCCGTCGGAGAATCCTGGCCAGTTGTTTGGGAGTGATTTGCTCACGGATTTGAACTACAGTGAATGGGTTAACGACATGACGGAAACCCTAATCGCCAAAAATAAGATGGCGTTTGTCGATGGGTCTCTTCCCCGTTCCAAGGCGGGTTCTGGGATTCGTGATGAGGCGTAGTGTCGCTGCGACGCTACCGTCAAGGGTTGGCTGAAAACTGCCATGAGTAAGGAGGTGCGAAATAGTGTGAGGGCTGCTTGCACTGCCCGAGAAATTTGGTCTGACTTGCAGCAGCGTTTCGGCTCCGGCTCGGCCACGCGAGCTTACGACCTGCGGAGGAATCTCAGATCTTTGCGCCAAGAGAAGCTCAGCGTCTCGGCATTCTATACCAAGCTGCGTACGCAATGGGATGAGTTGAGCGCAGTTACAATCAATCCCCGCTGCACTTGCGGCCTTTGTACGTGTGACATGGCTAAACAAACGCGCGAGAAGGAAGAAGTAGAGCATTTGTTTGACTTTTTACTCGGCCTTGATGACGCGTTCGCCGTCATTCGTTCGCAAATCCTTAGTATGAAGCCTATTCCTACTACTGCCGAAGCTTATCAACTAGTGGCGGCGGAGGAACAGCAACGGCAAATCACAGGTGCTCGTTGTCCCGTCGTGGAAGCTGCTGCCTTCCAAGCGCACAAGGACAAAGACGATGAGGATGATCGTGTGCGTTGCAACCACTGTAACAGGATTGGACACACCAAAGAGACTTGTTACAAATTTATTGGCTTCCCTGGTGATCAGAACAAGTCTCGGCAAGGAGAACGTGGTGCGCGTGGTGATCTTTCCCAGGATCGCAGCACTGGTGCTGATCGTAGGCAGCGCAAAGAAGGGAAGCCAAGCCCGCGAGCTGCCAACGTCGAGAACGAAGAAAGCCCCATTCCTGGTCTTTCAGCAGCTCAATTTGCGCACCTGAAACAGTTCCTTTCTTCCACACCGACCTCATCCAGCAAGCCGACAACCCACATGGCGGGTAATTCAACTGAACTTTACGAGTGGCTCATCGATTTCGGTTGTAACGAACATACAATTCGTGATTCTACTTGGTTAAAAAAAATTGATAGGACTGGTCCTCTCTCTCCAGTTCGCATTCCTAATGGTGCTAGTATTCAGGTACAGGGAGTTGGTTCTTTGATTTTGAATGATCGTCTCACTCTTGATCGTGTTCTTCATGTGCCGTCATTCAAATGCAACTTGCTCTCTGTTAGTCGTCTGACCAAAGACCAGGATATGTCTTTACTCTTCTTGGCTGATTTTTGTATTATCCAGGACTTACGCTCCAGGACTATGATTGGACTGGGCCAGCTCCGTGATGGTTTATACTATCTCCATCGAGTCGGGGACATCGGGCGTCCACATGGCAGGGTACCTTCTGTGTTTGCGATAGCTGGGAAGGGTTCCATGGATTTGTGGCATGCTCGCTTGGGACATCCGTCTATGGAAAAGTTATCGGTTTTACGAGATCGTTTGCAAATTTCTGGTTTTAGGCGGGATTCTCATCATTGTGATTCTTGTTTGCGAGCTAAACAAACAAGAGCACCTTTTGTTTCACATTCTATTAAGACTCGCATGTGTTTCGAGTTAATTCATGTGGATATTTGGGGAGGTTATCGCACCCCTTCTATGGATGGTTCTCGTTATTTCTTGACAGTGGTGGATGATTTTAGTCGAGCCACATGGGTTTATTTACTCAAGTTTAAATCGGATGTCGAAAGGTATCTTCGCCAGTTTTGTCAGATGGTGCACACACAGTTTAATTCTCAGGTTCGGCGCGTGCAAGCCGATAACGGTCTAGAGTTCCAGACCACTAGTTTACGAGATTATTATGAGACGCATGGAATTATTCTTCAAACTACCTGCGTCGATACTCCCCAGCAGAACGGAGTCGTTCAGCGCAAGCACAGGCACCTCCTCGAGACAGCTCGAGCTCTGCGTTTTCACTTGGGTCTCCCTGTTAAGTTCTGGGGTGAATGTGTTGTCACAGCCAGCTATCTAATTAATCGGATGCCCTCCAGTGTCCTCGGAAATCGTACTCCTTTTGAAGTTCTCCTCGGCCGTCAACCATCTTATGCTCACCTTCACAGCTTCGTGTGCCTAGTGTATGCAAAAGATACTCGTCATGGCCTCGACGGGGGAGACCTTGTGTGTTTGTTGGATACCCGGCCTCTCAAAAGGGTTTCCGGGTGTACGATCTTCCTTCTCGACGAATTTATTCGTCCCGGGATGTCCATTTTGTTGAAAATGTATTCCCTTTTCAGGAACAAGGGACGACGAGCTCAGGTGGGACCAAGAGGCAAATCTCGATGAATGCAAGTGAGCACGAGGAAATAGCTGAAGCCGAGTCACCTGTGCGTCCAGATCTTGATGAAGATGATGAGCTAGCCAGCCAACATGGAGATAGTGAGGGTCTCGATGCCCATATGGAACATTCCCATGAAGAGATTAATGCACAAACAGGTGAGGAATATAACAATGAAGGCCAAGAGAACGAGGAAACCCCTCAACCGGAAGAAGTCGGCTCCCTCGAGCAGCCTCCTTTGATGCACGGAGACAGGGTACGTCGACCACCACCTTCGTTGAAAGACATTTATGATGTTGAATTTCCAGGTCAGTCTCGAGGCAATGCAGCAGCCTCGTACCCCATGGCGAATCACGTGAGTTATGAGCACTTCTCACCCAACATCGCGCATACCTGGCCGCAATCACCAAAATTGAAGAGCCCAAAACTTTTGAGGAAACAGTTAAGCATGCTTTCTGGAGAGAAGCCATGTTACGAGAACTGCGAGCCTTAGAAGCAAATGGGACGTGGACTTTAGAGTCACTTCCAAAAGGCATGAAGGCAATAGGTGCAAAGTGGGTTTACAAGGTAAAATACAGGCCTGATGGTACTGTAGAGAGGTACAAAGCTAGGCTGGTAGCGAAAGGATTCACACAGCTTGAAGGAGTTGACTTTCACGATACTTTCGCACCGGTAGCCAAGGTGGTTACTGTGCGAGCTCTTCTGACAATGGCAATCAAGCGAGGCTGGGACTTACACCAGCTAGACGTGAATAACGCCTTCTTGCACGGTGATTTGGAAGAAGAGGTGTATATGCAGGTTCCACAAGGTTTTGCTAGAGTAGGGGACAACAGAGTGTGCAGGTTGAGAAAATCCATTTATGGACTAAAGCAAGCCTCACGAAACTGGTACTAGAAGTTCACTGCCTCACTTTCTGAGCTAGGCTTCAAGCCATCTCATGCGGATCATTCGTTGTTAATCTACAAGCAGGGTGAAGACTTTGTTGTAACATTAATATATGTGGACGATGTGATTCTTACAGGAAACAACGTTGCCTTCATAAACAAGGTAAAGAGCTTTCTAGATCAGCGTTTCAGCATCAAGGATTTGGGAAGTTTGAAATATTTCCTGGGGATAGAAGTGGCAAAAGTTGCAGATGGAGTTGTACTCAGCCAGAGAAAATATACCTTGGACATTCTAAGGGATGCCGGAGTGACAGGAGCACGCCCGAGTAGTTTTCCAATGGAACAAAATCATGGTCTCACACGCCCGAGTGAGGAAGTCGCGGATGACATCAAGGGATACCGGCGCCTAGTTGGTCGGCTCCTATATCTGACGGTAACGAGACCTGACATTTCTTATTAGTTAATATATTGTCACAGTTTGTTCATCGTCCAGGTCCAGAACATGTAGCAGCAGCAAATCGTGTCTTACGATACTTGAAGAAGTCACCTGGTCAAGGCCTATTCTTTCCTAAGTCTGGAGACTTGGAGCTGGTGGCATACTGCTATGCAGATTGGGCAGGATGCCAAACAACCAGGCGCTCAACTACTGGATATTATATACAGTTAGGGGGAGCGCCCGTGTCATGGAGAACAAAGAAACAGAAGGTTGTCTCGAGGTCTTCTGCTGAAGCAGAATACCGAGCCATGGCGAGCACTGTTAGCGAAGTCCTTTGGCTGCGGTTCCTTCTTGAGGAGCTAGGTGTTCGGCAACAGGGTTCCATGCCGCTTTACTGCGATAATCAAGCTGCATTACACATTGCAGCCAATCCCGTTTTCCATGAGAGAACGAAGCATGTAGAAATGGACTGTTACTTCGTTCGTGAGCAAGTTGCGTCAAAGGAGATTGAGCCAAAGAAGATTGGAACCGCGGCGCAGCAAGCAGACATTTTTACAAAGGCATTGGGAAATGAACAGTTTCACACGCTGCTATCCAAGTTGGGTGTTCGGGATCTTCACACTCCAACTTGAGGGGGAGTGTAGAAACGTGTGAAACCAGTTTGTACATATGTTTATTGTTGAAGGACCTTTTAGCATTTTGTGCTCCTAACCCTATTAGCTCACGTCGAGTATAATAGGAGGGTAGGGTTTTCGTTTGATGTAAGCAGAAAGAACAATAGAGTTGCGGCCAATAATAATCCTGAGAACTCACGTTCTCCGTGGAGTAGTCTCGTTCATATTGAACGGGGAAACCACGTAAATCCTGTGTCTCGTGTTATCGTCTACTTTCGTTACTAGATTTTACAAAACACATAGGAAACATCTCCATTATACCCCCATCGGATCATCTTGTCTCTTGTCTACATGCGAGTTTGAGCCATCAACCAAACTATAAATATGTTCCTGAGAATGTTTTTGCCTTTCCATAGCAGCCAAAACCACTGCACCTTATGCTTAGAAGGTCTCAAGTGCTCCCAGACCTGCTCAATTTTATATCTAGGCATCACTGGACTAACTACCAAGATGCTTATCACTTTGTCTTTAATCTTCATCATCTTATCCCAGTTCCATGATCCGGCAGAACCCTTAAACGTCCAAACATCCCTCTACTTAAGTCGAAATTCTTTTGACCATGCCACCCACAGTGATCCATGTTGTAATTACATCATCCAGAGGTATCTAGCAATACAAGTCTAGTTCCATGACACCAAGTCCCTAACACCAAATTGTCCTTCAACCTTAAGGTAGGCAAGCTACGACCAAGCCACCACTACTTTCAGCCTTGTCCCATTATGGACTCCGATCCCCACAAAAAGTCACTACATCTTCTTCAACCTCACTTATCACTATTTTTTGGAGAACAAAAACCGAAAGCCAGAACTGGTGTTATGCTATAGACAACAGAAGATTTGTTCAAGCCTCCCTGCATAACTCAAAGCCTTTACCTTCCACCCGGATATACTGGTCGTAATCTTATCAAGTAATGGTTTACACGCCTTGACTGACAACTTACCAGCAATTAAAGACACTCCTAAGCACCAAACTAGCAACTTTCCCGGTTTATACCCATCTGTTCTGCCATTATAGTTTGAAGCTATGTTGGCAAATCTCCACAAAAATTTCACATTTCCTCGGATTTGTCTTCATCCCAGACAACAAATAGAATTCAACCAACACCTTTTGCACATATTGCACTCCATAATTTGATCCATAAGTGAAAATTAGGGGGTTATAGGTAAAATATGCCCCTCTACTATGACGATTTATCAAACATGCCCCTCAATTATTTTTTACATCAAACGTGCCTCTGTAGTTTGAAAAAATTATCAAACATGCCCTTTTGTTAAAATTTTAATCCAAAAACCGTTAACCAACGCCGAACTTTGATTTAGGTGACACAAATGTCTAAAATATCCGTAATAATTTCACTTTAGAATTTGTTTGGTTCTTTTGTATAGCCAAATAATTCAAATAATCTCATTTTGAAGAGCCCCAGAGAAATAAAACGGGAGACAAAACTGACATTTTCACTCCCATTTGCAGATGTCGGGTCGTCTAAATCTCGGTTCAACCATGATTGACGGTCTTTTCAATGGAAAGTTTAACATAAGGACATGTTTGATAAAAAAAATTCGAAGTATAGGGGCATGTTTGATGTAAAAAACAGTAGAGAGGCATGTTTAATAAAACGTCATAATAGAGGGGCATATTATACCTATAACCCAAAATTAGGAGATCGTTAGCGAAACAGAGATGAGTAAGCTGAATCCTCTTACACATAGGTTGATACGGTAGAGAGTTCTTTTGCGTTGCTACATCAAGAAGGTGAGATAAGACTTCCATTAAGATGGCGAACAAGTATCGGGACAGGCCCCCCCTGTCTAAGCCCCTTTCTTGCTCGGGAAGTATCCTACCAACCCACCATTCAAACTCACACTAAACATGGTAGTGGACATACACAACCAGTTGATAAAGACAGGGGAAAGTTCATTGCAACTAATATTTTAAAAAGAAATCCTCAATCAACCGAGTTGAATGACTTCACGAGATCGAGCTTCAGCGTACTTCTCTGTGATATATTCTTCCTATTATAGTTATGAACTAACTCATGAGCCAGCAAGATAGTCTCTCCAAGTAAACGACCCGCGGTTTGATTCTTACTTATTACATAAGGTAAACAGGAACTTAATTGATATGCTAGTATTTTGGCAATTCACTTATAAATAGTCGAACAACAGGAGATAGGTCTATAAAATAGTCCTTCAGATTTATGCTCTTCCACCTCGATCTCATCATGCCAATCACTAAATTCTGCCATAGGACTAGAAAAATCAGGACTATTTAAAGCCTCGTGAGGACCTCTTTGATATGAGTTGGGTTCAAGAGATTCAAACTCGCTCAACAATCGAAATACACAGCACTCCAATTTTGGGGTTTTCTAGGGGTTTCTTCAAGAACACGAAAAGTAAACACAGAACCGATCAAATATCTCGAACCTGTGGGAAGGGTCAATTGGTATAGTCTATGCTCTCCACGACCAGATGTGATTTTCTGATTGATAAGAGACACGTACAATCCTCCGGAATCCTCTACTGAGAGTTTGCACAGACGTTAAATACTTGAACTAAAAAAAATTTTCGATTTCTTTCATGAATAAAACTTGGTTGAATGTCTCATACGGAAGAACTCAAATCCTTTTATAGTAGGAGAAAAATAAACCCAAAAACCTGTACAAAACGACATTTAACAAAAATTAACCTGAATCCAAACGTAAAACAGAAAAACAGCCGCCAGAACACGTCTTCCCAATCCCCGGTCAGTCTCCCTCTGATCCTCAATCAGGGGTGTTTCTGCTCGTGGCCATGGGCCCTTCTGGATGAGATCCTCGGTCGTGAAAGTGAATCCCCGGCCGAGGATTGTGATTCCTCCATGAAATATTCCCTAGCCAGCCTAATACCTCCCCACGAGCCTTCGTCTTCGGTCCACGCGAGGTATACATCGTGGTAATGGCTTGCTCCTCAAACAAGCGGGAACATGAGTAAAAACGTTAAGCGTAAAAATGTAAGTTTTTGACTCTAATTAATCTTCAACAAATTATCTGTCCCATTTAAAAATTCACTACTCATGTAGATAAACTAATTAAATTTTTTTTAATAGTTTATCAAACGTACAAATAAACCAACAATTCAATAAGGAAATAATGAGGTTTCTTCATTCATAGAAAAACACAACCAATTAACAACTACACCTCATTATGGGCTGTTTTGTTTCAATTCAGATGTCAAATTAAACTTGATTATTGAGAATTCTTTTATTATGAGGTTCTTCATCCATTGAATGTGAGGAATCAGATTATTAATAAATATTAATCACTTAAGTCGCACATCAAACAATAAAGTAATCACTTGATGAAGTTATGGTGTAACATCGGAGTCCCTCTTGAACATGTCATATGCCATGCTTACATCAAGGTGATGACATTCCAATATTTGGAAAAATATCTGGCACTTCATCCATAGAACCTCACATTCATGGCCAAATATCTGGCACTTGATCTAACCATTTGGATCGTCTTTATGATGTCTGGTTCGTCTCGAAATATTGTTGGTCCGTCAGGGTGCGACCCTGTTTTTTGGCAGGTGCGCAGTTCGTGCCGGGGAGGATTCTAGAGAAACCAACTGTTGGATTGTCCTCAAACTTTGTGGACTGGTTCAAGACTTGTTTTGGTTAGATTTGACCATAGGGATCAATGATCTAAGCACTGGTTTCACGAGAGACATTGATAGAGAGGGTGAAAAATTGGTTGAAACTCCTTCAACTGGAAACGTATAAAATCATATTATAAACGCATTGTTGATAGTTTTTTTAAACCGTTTTTCGCATTTTTTGATAGTTTTTCTTACGTTTTATTCCGCATTTGTGAAGATGAAACTGAGAGGAGCAGCTGTAAAGCCCTTACAATGGTACTTCCTAAGTGGTTGGTTGAGATAGACCTAACATATGAAGGAGATGCTGAGGTTGCTGGCTTAATAGCTGCAGCTGCAGTGAATTCTCAAGGTCCCTCTCTGTGGTCTTTCTCCTTTGGAATCCTTCGCTATAAGTGAGCATTTGTCGTGGGAAGTACCGGTCATATGCGCTCTAAGCTCTTTCACTTGTTTCATTCCTCCCCTGTTGGGGATATTCAGGTGCACAAGTAACTTCCCAGCGCCTTAAGGCTCACTTCTATTGGCGTGGAATGAAGTCTGCTGTGATGAATTGGGTTGTTGCCTGTGATGTTTGCCAGCATTGCAAAACAGAAACATTTGCTTCACTGGGATTACTGCAACCTCTCCATATTCCTATTCGTGCTTGGCATGATATTAACATGGATTTTGTGGAAGGACTACCTACCTCTCATGGTAAGCAGGTTCTTCTGGTAGTGGTGGATCGGTTTACTAAAGCAGCTCATTTTCCAGTCTTAAACATCCTTATACAGCATCTGAGGTGGCCCAAATCTTATTCGATGGAGTTTTTAAATACCATGGTATGCCCCTCCACCATCGTTTGTGACAGAGATGCGACATTCACCAGTCATTTTTGGATAGAGTTTGACTCACTCCTACTGTCACTCTAGAAAATGGCCAAGTGTAACCACTTCCTAAAGCGTAGTATAGCGGGTTTGGGTTTTATTGTCAACCCGGGTCCTAGATGTGATGACTACTCGGTGAATTCTTGTTATCTAGCAGTGAACTTTTAGTGCAAATTCAAGCAAACAAAAACACAAAGCAAGTAAACGGTTGTTGTCAAGTCAAGAGAGGTCACCCGGATATGGTTCCCCCTAGACTGCAGTTAAGTCGAATTGCAATTACCGAATTGAATTCGGTACAGAATAGTGAATTGGCTCCTCGACTAAAGTCACCAATTCACTACCTTCGATTAAGGATACTCTATCAACCTAGGAAGATATTATCATTCTAGGTCAAAGCAGAAACAACAGGAATTTGATCAGGATTCAAGTCATTCAATCATTCAAACCTCAATCGAATATAATC